AACTTATCCAGCATATGTTTTACGCAGCGGATGCCCTTCAAGCCGCAACCTATCTCTGGGAAACATCCACACACACTCATTCACACACACACTCATACACTACGGACCATTTTAGCCTACCCATTTCATCTGTACCGCATGTCTTTGGACTGTGGGGGAAACCAGCGCACCGGGGAGAACAACACAGGGAGAACATGCAAACTCCACACAGAAACACCAACTGACCTAGCTGAGGCTCGAACCAGCAACCTTCTTGCTGTGAGGTGACAGCACTACCTACTGCGCCACTGCGTCACCCTTGCAGACAATATAAACACAAAATATTTCATGTTCTGACTGGTCAACTGGTCATAAGATGGGCCGAGAATCGCCAGTTTGCCAACAAATATGTGAAAATTATTGAAATGTTGAAAAACAATGTTCCTCAAAGAAAGAGAAAAAGACATTTAAATATTTCACCATCAACAGTGCAGAACATCATTAAAAAATTCAAGAAATCTGGAGAAGTTTCAGTGCGTAAAGGACAAGGGCGCAAACCTAAACTGAACAACTGAGCAACGAGTAATCTCCCATCCCTCAGGGGGCGCTGCATCAAGAACCTCATTCATCTATAAGGCATATCACCACATGGGCTCAGGACTACAGCAAACCTTTGTCAAGTACCACAATATGAGTTACATCTACAAATGTCAGTAAAAAATGTACCGTGCCAAAAGGAAGCCCTATGTTAACAGTGTACAGAAGTGACGTCGACTTCTCTGGGCTCAAAGGTATCTGGAATGGACCATCACAGTCGCACAGAGACTCTTTATTTTAAGAAAATTCAATAGTTTTAATGTTAGTAAGTTACTGAGGAAGGTAAGGAAAGTATTATCCCCTATAATATTTCTAGCTGGTACGGAAATCTTGGAGGTGTAGACATGCAAAAGTATAAACTTGCAAAGATCGTTAATATGGCTAATATGGCTATAAGATCATAATGAACTCCCAGAAGCAGCTTGAGGAGCTGTGCACAAACCAGACCAGACGGAAAGCCTTACAGATAGTTCAGGACTCAACTCATCCTCTTTATCATGAATTTGAAAAGCTCCCTTCTGGTAGACGATACAGAGTACCCACAGCAAAAACAGATATGTTTAAGAAATCTATTATACCGTCTGCTATTACCATGCTGAATAAATGACCATGAAGTTGTCTGTATGTCTCGGGTTGTGTGTTGGTAATCTGTGGTGTAGTAAGTTTTGTGTTTGTGTTTTTGTATTTATGATGTTTGGATCATTCATTTCATTCAAAAAGGAAAATAAAGTTTTCTAATTCTAATTCTAAATGTGTACTGTGGTCAGCTGAATTGGTATTTCAGGATTTTTTTGGGAGAAATGAACGCTTTGTGCTCTGGACCAAAAAAGAAAAGGATCATCGAGACTGTTGCCAGCAAAAAACCAGGGTCTGTCATGGTCTGGGGTTGTGTCGGTGCCCTTGGCAAAGTACAGAGAGATTCTGGAGCACAAGATGCTGCCTTCTTTTCCAGGCATGCCCATGCAGAGTTCAACAAGACAATACAAAACCACATTCTGCACACATTACAGAATCAAGCTGTAAAGGAAGAGGAAACGGGTACTGGACTGGCCTGCCTGCAGTCCTGACCTGTCTCCAATAGAGAATGTGTGGTGTAAAATGCGACAACAAAACCCCTGTATTGTTGGCCACCTTAAGACTTGTTAGCAGGAAGAATGGGACAAGATTACTCCAGAAACACTTCATCACTTCAAATCTTTACAGTATTGTGAAAAGGAACGGCAACATTACAGTGGTAAATGTGTTGCAAAATATGTAAAATAATAAATATGTGTTTAATAAACATCATGAGGAACATATTAAATAATGTTTGTTGTATTATCGCCAATGAAATACAAGTCAAAGTCAATTTAGAAATGACCTTTTTTCTTTTTTTGTTTGCATTTTTCACACTGTCACAGCTTTTTCTGCCTTGGGGGTTGTACATATGATGAATTCAACTCGGGCTCATTGTGGAAACGTAGCCCCGCGGACGTTTCTGCGGAACGCGATTTACGTCCCGAGAGGTACGTATTCGAGCGTTTTTTGTTTTCGCGGATGCGCTAGAGGCCGCTGTGCGCACTTTTCCGCGTCTCGGGCGCCTCTCGGGAGCGCGCGCCGTTCGCGCCTGCGCCATTCTCGCGCGAAAAGCCGCCGGATCGAAAAAAAAAAAAAAAAGCAAAAACCCTCGTCTTCGATTTCGATTGCGTTTTCGGATCCCGCCGCGTTCTCGCCCTTATTTTTCGGATTCCGTTTTTCGTCTTACCTGTCTTCCAGAACCTGCTGTTCCCCGGACTCGATCCCAGTCGTCGTCCACCGCGGCCGGCTCCGGCTCCTCCTCCGGGGCCTCCGCTACGCCGTGAGCTAAGCGGACAAACTGATTGCGTCGAGAAAGCCCTCCACTCGGAGGCAAGCCGTCGGCCGGCGAGCGCGAAGAGGAGGGGTGGAGCGGCGCCACACCACCCCGCAGCGTTCGCTCAAAAAAAAAACAAACGCTGCCTTTACGTACCTCCGGCCACGTTAATCGCGGTCTCCAGAAACGTCCGCGGGGCTACGTTTCCAGAATGAGCTTGGGTTGGATGAATTCATGTTGAAAATAATCTCATTTGAACCGTAATTATATTTAAAACTTTGGTTCCTCATGCTCCGCTGTTCTGCACATTTTTTTAGGCTCAGGCAAATACTGTATTCAAAACATTAGTCAGATTTTTGTCCTCTAATTTCTTCAGTGATATGGATCTGCTCAAAACCTGCTGGAACTACTTTAGCTGCGTGTTTATCTAAAAACAACCAAACACCTTAGAATGATCATCAGCCAATCACAATCAAGCATTCAACACTCATGCACTATAAAGTGAGATATGTCCAATGTTTACTAGCTGATTGTTGGTGAAGTGTGCATTCTGAGAAGTTTCGTGCGATCTCTAAACCCGTCCTCTGCTGATTCGCAGACCGCAGCGTCCGGTCACAAGTGTTTGTTTTTCTGGATTCTCTCTGCTCATCTGCCTGGACGAGATATGGCAGATTTCTGCATGTGTGGCTTTGAGTATTTCTCCTAAAATCCTCCCGCCGGAGACATGGGAAACAGCAGCGGTCGCCCAGACTCTCAGAAATGTTTACATGGATTGTTTTTTTGGGGTCTGATGTGGCAGGAGTGGAATCGTATCAGGAAATAGTTGGGGAAAGACATTGTCCGTGGCATGTCTATTGAGCACGTTATTTTGTTAGATTTAAAATATGAGACAGCATTGGCTTCAGTGTCCAGAAGCCAACAGGAGTCTTTCGCACACAATGAACGCTGTTTGTTTATCTGCACATGATTAATCGTCTGAATGATTCCTGATGCCAAACCACAATTACTGCCACACATTCATACACGTCTCTTTATTCTGCTGTCAAGAGCACAGTGTTCTTGATAAATCAATAGTAGCGAGCCACAAGTTCAACTATTTAAATGCTTTTCTTAATATTTAACCATTCTGGATTCTGTGTCCATCATCATTTTTTTCTATGGAAGCATTTGCCCATATTTAATGCCTGCTGTCCATGATATTGGACTTATGTCATCCAATCAAATGGCAGTATACTGCATACATTTTGTTTGTCTTGTATCTAGTCCACACATCTAAAAATTCCTAAATCAAGAAGCCTTTAATGGCTCGTTTCCACTGACTGGTACAGTACAGGTCACCTTTATCAGGCTTGCGTTTCCACTACTTCCACTACTGGCTATAGCTTCATGAGATTGTGACGTATCTCTTTAACCAATCAGCGTTCAGCTGCGCTTGTAGCTCCAACTTTTTTTTTTTTAAGATTTATTTTTGGCCTTTTTGACTTAATTAGATAGGACAGCATTGAGGTAGGAAGCGAAGTAGGAGAGAGAGGGTAGGGAAATGTCATCGAGCCGGGATTCGAACTCGCGACGCCCTGATGTGCTATTGCACCATATGTCGGTGTGCTAACCACTAGGCTATTGCGCCGACATAGCTCCACCTTTTGATACTCTTTCTCGTGTTTGGTACCTTTTTGAAAGAGTGCCAAAAAAGTGGTATGTTTCGGTATGCCTTTTGACAATGGAAACGGCCATAAAAGCACACTGAACCGAACCGTACTGTACCACTCAGTGGAAACGGGCCATTATAGACAAGCAATAAATAATCAGAGTTACTGTGCACTTTGCATTGCAAGACTAAAGACATGTTTTTATTCAGTCGC